ATTAATTTTTTAAAACAACTTGATATCAGTGAAAGCACATGTGTCTGATAACGTCATTATAAAGAACAACTGAACGGTCAGTCACTTAGTATTAACTGTGTAATGGGAGACAGGATCAAAATGAGGAGGTACTCCATGAGAAGATGCACATTTCTTAACTGTTTTAAAAACGTTTTTATACTTTTGTGTCTAAACCTAGGCATTAACTCAAGCATCAATCTTCTCTTATGCCACCTCCCTCTCCTTTACATATGCAGCCCTTTCTTTAAAAACCTGCTCCAATTCACCACTGGAAACTTTAGTTCCAGCGGTGTGAAAACTCCTCTTGCCTGTTGCCATGGTGACTTCTCGAACAATCAAGCCAGTCATCAGCGCCAAGATCATGACAGTTTGCAATCAGTTGACAAGTGGTCATTTTAAATTTCTTGTGTACATGTGTTAAGAGATAATGGGTACTGGGTTTTAACTGGGGTAGTCGGTTGGCTTGCAGTTGATGTCATAAAATTTCCCGTATTTTCAGATCCAAAACTTGACAGTTATGTTCTTGACCTGCGGATAACAGAAGAAAGCAAGATGCAGAGCAAATGAAGAAGGCTGGAGCAGAACAGACACCAGAGGCTGCAGCCACACAGAGAAATTCTTTCCAGAGGTGCTCCTCATGCTAAGGAACAATTCAAAATTCAGTGATGATCCAGATCATGTGCAAGTTTTAGCTATATGTGAGTCAGAATATGGGATAAAATTTGCCGCTTGGCTGAAGTCTGTGTAGAGTTTGCTGAATTGCTAATTTTGTAAAAAAAAATCTGAACTACCTCTTTAAAATGGGACTGACGTCACTCGGATATCTGAGTTAAATATAATGCTAATTTTATAAGGGTTGGGGGGTTTATAAATTGTAGTAGAGCGCTTTAAAATTACATTTATGCAAATATTTTTATTATTATATAAATATTGTGTTTTAGGAAGTAAATTCTGATAAAACAATTTGTGCATAATGCAAACAGAGCCTTTTTTTCCTTTTTCAGCTGCCTGGCTCGTTACGTCACTCCATGTAGACACGCCTTTTTGGGGTGGCGACACCAGGCTGGCGCAGGGGGGAGGGGTGTCCCGTCTGCAGGCGCACAGACAGCAGGCAGCAGCTGCGGCGACAGCACCCGTCACACCGCCTTCAAACATCCACCTTAGCACTCTCAGCTTAGAGAAACCCCAGCGGGCAGCACCACCACCGGCCTTTAAAATGGTAGACCGCGAGCAACTGGTGCAGAAAGCCAGGCTGGCCGAGCAGGCGGAGAGGTATGATGATATGGCAGCTGCCATGAAATCGGTGAGTAGCCCTCCTCTCCTGTCACCTCTCTTATTTCAGGCTAATTTTCGGTGTTATTTAGTAGAAATGTCTGATTAATCAGGCTCCTGGGATTGGAGGGGTGTGGGGGTGCTGCCCACAAGGTTGGCACCTTTTCACCAAACCTCATAAACCAATGAAAAATGATGTATGAAACTTATGATTGACAAGCGCATACATGAGAAATATTAAATAAAAAAACATCTAAAATCACATCTGGGGGCCCATCATATTGCACAGGGCTGAAAAGGCCCCTCTCTGTCCCCCCTCCCCTCCCCTCTCTGCATATCAGTGATAAAATGAGATTACATTTTGCGATTTGCAGAAAAATCTGCGGCTTTTTTTTTCCTGTGTGAGCGCTAATCTGCGGTGGTTTGCGGCTGTCTGAATGCGGACTGTTTGATCTTGGGGCGGTGCCTTTTTTTCTCCCACCAGGATCCTTCACATAGCGGTCAGACTGCTGGGTTTTTAAGCGCACCGAGGATCCGCTTCCATTAACAGAGAAAGGGAATCCGAATGTTTCCATCAAAAGATGTAAAAGCGATCATTGTCCTGCTCTTCTTTTTTTTTTTTATCCGACACAGTGTGACACTCATTTAGCATTTCAATAATAAAAAAAAAGAAAAAAAAACACATTAAGGTGGAGATATGTGACCCCACATTGTCGCTGCGCGTTTTTGCGCACCGGAGAAAAGGGGCAATGCGGGCTGAAGGGTTTTTTTTCGCAATCGATTTGCGCAGAGCACAGAAACCTGTGGGTGTCACTGAAACCAACGCCTTCTTGGCTGATTTATCTCAGTGCAGCTTTTCTTTTTTTTTCTCGTCTCTCTCTTATGTATTTTTTTTTTAAGGATGCTGTGCAGCAGCCGCATCCCTGTCCCGGACCTCCTCTTCCAGCAGGTTCCCACACAGAGGCGTGCCGCAGCATCTGCCAGGATGCAGCACAGGCCCGCCCGTAGTGCACCATTTCACATGCAGCTTTTATACACCAGCTTCCCACAAAAGCCTGCCCGTCACCCTTTTTTCCCTGCATGGACATCCAGTTCACATTGGAATAGATAGAAATAAAGAAAATCATGCTTCAGTGATATATTTATTAAGATAATGTCCCCAATAAGCTTCTGCATGCTCTCTAGCTTTATCTCCCCTCATGTAGAGATGCAAATCCTTTTCACTATTACATGATCACAGAGTATGGGATAATTAGAGTAATCTAGAGCATATCTCAGACTTCCAGGAGTCAGCAATTAGCTGTCAGTGGCTAAAGTCCATGCTGGTTTTTAGGACTGGCCTGTAGTGGTAAAGCCAGCAGGGGCCTGGCTCCACCCCTTCCCATTTATGCCGAGTCAGAGGGACAGAGTTGCCCCTCACCCAGCCAGTGTCTCTGCAGCACAGGGCAACGGGGCGTGTCTGCGGCCTCGCCCATCTTTTCAAAGGGAAGCCCTTACCACTGCAGCCAAATGTCCAGGTTGGTAGAAGGTGGAGATGCTGTTTCTCTGTTTTAGGGAGAGATGCGAAGGATTAGAACCAATCGCAACTAAAATGGGCGAGGATGGGGCTGCTGTTTGTTTGCAATCTACAGCCATGCTTTTTCAGCAACCTTTATTTATGAAAATTCCCCCTTTTTTCTTTTTATTGAATGGATTTGAACGCCGTAATTTCCTATTGCTTCTTTATGTTTATTCAGAAATAAACAACCAAATGTCAAAAGGCGTCGATCAATTTGATCAAATTAATCAGTTTAAGCTGGTAATATTTCACCTGTATTATAGAACTTTGATTTAGTAAAATGGTTGATTTTATTTGTAGCAAGAAGTCAGTTTTTATTACCAGTTCCTGGTTTAAGACCCAACAAGAATGCCTGAAAGCTGGAATAAGGTTCTAATTAAACACGTATGAACGGATTATTAGTATTGATATCCTTTTTTTCTACCTGAAAACAGTGCTGCCAAACAGCACTTCTTCTTTCATGGTGGAAGGATATAAAATGGAGAAAAATACAGAAGTAACCTATGTTGGTATTAGAAGCAAAATGACGAGATTAGCTGCTCTTGGAGGCTGAAACTAACGGATAATCTTTAGTCCAAAACCAAAGGGAAATTCTACAGTCTGTTCTCAGGAAGCTCAAAGAAATTAAAGGGAATTCTGATTTCATGACATTTAAACTGTCGAACATGTTCCCATTGGATGGTTATTAGTGGAAAATCTTATTAAAACTGTGGTATGCACAGGTGCGTCATATTCCTGTTGGAAACATGTCTGCATGACTTGAAGTATAAAAATAAAGAACTTAATATTAAAGCATCTTAAGTGAATGTTTTTTTGACTTAAAAAAAAATGCTCATTTACTTTTCTACATAGTACTTTGACCAGATATACCTTACAGCCTACATTTTCAGTTTGCGTTTCACACAGGAAGACTATTAATGGTGCACTGCTTCCTTGTTTCATTTCACAAGGAGATACACATCCAATACACATTTACTATAGTTTGCAGATCAATGACATATGTCTGCATTAACTGCAGTGATGCTTTAGGATGAGCTGACTAAAGACGGTAGAAGTCCTTCTTTTGGTATCGGGTCCTTTTGAACTAGCTGCCAGTTTGAGCATTTGTCTGAAGTGATATCTTTATCAAGCATTAAGGAATTATAACCTATTAACACAGGGGTCTTCAATGTTTTCCAGGCTAATGATCCCCAAACTGATGGTGAGATGGAGCAGAGACCCCCTAATTATATATTGTATGAAACTGTGTTATATCAAACTGGTCCTATAGTCACTCTATTACACATGGAGTAATGTAATGAAAGTAATTTCTCCCTGGGATTATTAAAGTATTTCTGATTCTAAATCCTGGTTGATGGGACAGGTGTTGTGAATGAAACGGTGCCCAGCTTAAAAGAGCTCCTGTGTGTCGCTGAATGTGTGCATTGATGACTGAAAGACATCTTCTGCCGCCATTTATCGGTTTACTACAGTGTGTTGAATTCATGTTAATGTGGATTTAAAGACATTTCAATTAGTGGAAAAAATTGCAGCGGGGAATATATAAAAAAAAAATAAACCAAAACTTTAACTTTCACGACCCCCATGCAGTACCTCCGTGGACCCCCTCGGGGTCGTGGACCCCCTGTTGAAGACCTCCGTATTGACACAAACTATCTTTCAGGATTCTGAACTATCCCTTTATATTCTAATGTTTCTAACAGAAAACAATCTGTTAGAATTGTACATTAAATAGATAACATTTTGTTCCTTTAAAACATCCGACATAATGAAAAGGTAAGGTCCTTCTGAAAATAGAACCAAACATCTGTTATCAGTGGCATGGGCTCTGAATTAAGGCAACTGGTCATCCTGGTGCTGCTGTTGGGTATATTTATTTCCTAGCTTATAAAAATTGCATTTTAGACCTTCAGTTTCTAGTTTCTTCATATTAACTGAATCACAAAAATGTTACTGCATATGATAGAGTTAGTAGTGAAACCAGCAAGAAGTGAATCAGGAGAGCATTCCAATAATGCTCAGGAGCATTTTATTAGATATTAGTTAAGCTTTTAAAATAAAATGGTTTTGCTTTTTTAAAAACGGCCAAATTTAGATTTCAGGTCAGTTAGTCGATACAAGTCTGTTTCTGCAGATTTGATCAAATCCCCGCTTCAGTTCAATTTGTGTCCCTTTTGACAGTGCGTTTCAGTACTGCAGTATGCATGTCTAATTTGTTGTTGCATCATACGCCCCACAGGCAAAGAGAAACAACCTTACAATGTAGTAATTTTGAAATAGGCTGGTCAGAGCGGCGTCAAAGGATTGTTTTCTGCAGGTTGTGTTTAAAGCATGCCCCTGCCCGCCCTCCGAAAGGCTCCTACCAATATTCTATTATTGATAAATAATGGCAGACAGTCAAATCTTAAGCAGACTGTGGATGTAATGGCTCTCATTTGTAGGCATACTTTCAATTAAGGCACCCCTCACACACTGCAGGCTACTGCTTTATGCAAAGGACTGCAAAACCACAGACTTGCAGAGGAAACACAGGAAATCCACTTTTATCATTGAAACTCCTGCTTATTCTGTTCACCCTGACTAGATTATCCGTTTAGCTGCAGTTACCAACCCAATCCCAGCATCCATCCAGTGTTTAACCAACATTGCTTGAATGCCTTTTTAATCTGCTGACTCCATTAGTTTGAATTCATGCTCTCTCCTCATACACTCTCTCTCTCAACCACACACACACACTAACACCCTGCTGGAGAGCTTTGTCATAGAAGGTACACGTCCCATATAGCCAGCACTTCCATCCTACTTAATGAGCTGCAGCCATTTATTCCCCTATAAAAGTTTTTCTCCTGGTGCATTAGCAGATTTATAATGCTGCATACATTAAATAAATGGATGTTTAATGTGCGATTATATCGGCATGTTGATTAGGATTCAGATAGACACATCAGTAGAAGTGCCTGCAGTAGGCATATTTAGGCTGTAAATGAAGGATAAACATGTTTTATTCATTCAAACCTTTACTTTTTTCCATATGTAAAATCATACAGTCGTCAGCGTATATAAATATACATCTACAGCAGATGACTGATCTTCCAGAGTCAACACATATGCTGGGGATGCTAAAAATACCTCCATGATCGCTAGCGGGTATGAATGCTTGGCATTGTTCGTTGTAGAGTTGCTGCGGCATTACAGTACAATCCATACTGTAGGAGGTGACATCAGCTCAGGCACCGATAATTATTAGGGTCATGATCCATGACTTTCCACATCCACTCTGAAACTAAATCGCTGCTATGTTTTAGAATTAAAACTTTTTTTTTTATTTTAGACCATAACTTTAAGAGATGGCCTAATTTGGCTTTCATAGATGACCTTTGAAATCTGATTCTCTTTCTTTCTTCGTACGATATCAGCCAATAACTCCTTATCGGAACTGTTTTAATCCCACAATCAAGCAAAGCAAACAATGA